ATAAACATCATGTTGTATATATATGGAGACTTTCTTTTTATCAGTGGCCTCTTTGTGGTATAAGCCCAGTAATCAAATCTCTCATCAAAGAGCATGGACAATATAGCCACTATTTGCATAATTCCAAAATGGTTGTACAGATTCACAGCTCTATCAGTAATACACCATTGTACCTTCTCCCATAATCCTTCCAACATTAACTATTTTCATCTTTGTCAATTTTAGGGTTCGAGGTGAAATTCAGAGTTTTAAAAAATTTGTATTTCTCTTATTAGTGATTTGGAACATTCTTTCTTATGGTTAACATCTTGCTATTCTTTTAAGAACTGTTTGTTCATAACCTTTGATCAATTTTTATAAAGGGATGGCTTTTGCTTCTGATAATTCTTTTTAATTCTTCAGGGTTTGCTGTGATTTCACTTTATTTGCTATTTTTAAATTTTTACTTTCTACCTCCTTTTAAAAATTAGATTGGCTAAAGGTTTATCAATTTTATTAGTCTTTTCAAAGAACTAGCAAAGAACCAGTTTAATTTACTAGCCTAGCTTTTAAAAATCTATACTCAGTTCATTAATCCTTTCCTCTTCTATTTTGTTAGCATGTATTTATAGGAATATAATTTTCCCCCAGAGGACTGCTTTAACATCATCCCAGAAATTTTTAATGTTGTTTCATCATTATCATTTTCTTTCATATAATGATTTACTCTACTTATTCTATGATTTGTTCTTTGACCCTTTCATTATTTAGGATTTAATTGCTAAGTCTCCATTTGTATCTTTTGTTTGTACTCTCTGATTATGGTTTTTATTATGTTATGATCTGTAAAGGAAGTGCTTTAAAATTTCTTTCTTTTTACATTTATTTGTAATATCTCTGTGCCAAAACACACAGTCAATTTTTGTAAAAGTTCCATGTGGTGCCAAGAAATATATTCTTTAGTCATTCATTCAGTAAAGGCCATAAGTCTTTTAGCTCTAACTTGACCAGTGATTCGTTCAAGTCTCTATTTCCTTTTTGCTTATCTTTGTTAGATTTATCCAAAAGTGAGAAAGGGACATTAAAATAGTCTGCCACTATTATGTTACTATGTATTCTTTTAATTTAGTAAATGTTTCTTTCATGAAGTTGGATGCTATTTTGGAGCCTATATGTTTAGTATTCATATTGGTTTGTTGTTCATGGGTTCCTTTTAGCATAAGGTAGTTTCCTTTCTCTTTTTTATATTGTTAATTTTTTATTCTGCTTTGTCTGAAAGCGAGATTGCAACTCCTGCTTTTTTGGATTCACTTGATAAATAATACATTTTATTCCAGCTCCTCATTTTTATTCTATGTATGTCCTTTTTTTTTTAATGTGTTTTTCCATAAGCAACAAATCATGGGGTTGTTTTCATATGCATTCTATCACTTTCTCATTTTATTGGGATGTTTAATCCATTCACATTTAAGTTACAAGTTACGTTTATATTTTCCCTTATTTTCTATTTTCTCTCCAAGTTAGGACACTTTTTCCCTCTTCTTCTGTAAAGATAGTACTTTATCTCCTGTTGTTTTACCCTAATTTACTTTAAGGCAACCCTATTCCTACAACCTCTCTTATGACTTTCAAGCCTCCCCTGCTTCCCTCCTGTTTTTCACCTTTCTCTAGTTTTGGGGCTTTCCTTAATGTAGTCCCTTCCCTGCCCACCCCCCTTTTATCTAATTCTTCCCTTCGTTTTCTCTCTGTTAAGTAATCAAGTAAAATTCCCCCTTCTCCTCCCTGATAGTGTTTTGTTAGTTTTTAAATTTCATTTTCTGTGCCTTTTCTAAAAAAGGATCTCTCTCCCTCTTTTTTTATTTCTCTTCCCTTTCCCCTCCTTAGTCTAGAAAATGGCTATTCCAGGTGTTTATTCTTTTATTCATGGCCCTTATACTTATTTATTCCTCATGGAAATAATGATATATAAATGCAAAAGAAAAAGATTATCTCTGTCCTTTGGGAGAACAAAACACCCTAAGGTACCTATTTTGAGTTCCCTCTTTTGAACAGGTTCTACTTCATTTCCTTCTTTATTTTGCCACAAAGCCCCTTTTTCTGTTGTATCTCACTCTTAGAAATCCCAGTTCCTGCAGGTGACAGAGGCTATAGAAGCACTGTCCCATGATAGGGATTCTCCTGATTGTGTAATTCATTACTCTTTGCCCTCCCCATCATTGTTCCCCTTCCCCCTTTTGAAGTCTCTGGATCCACGTTCTCCCATTCTTCTAGGTATCAGTTACCCCTGTTCCTGAGGCAAGATAAGTGGTCCCTCTAAGCACCAAACCCCTGCAGCTTATACACACTGCAAAGTTCTCATCTTTCCATTATAGCATATTCTTCAGTGGGAAAATTGTTTAGTGGGACTGACTTCCACTGAAGTGAGATTACTTCCTTTCCCTATTTCAATCCCTCCTTTTGTTCCCTCACCCATTCTCTTATAGGCTACCTTTTCCTGAAAAACTAGAGTAAGTTATGTTTCCTTCATTGTTCACTTTTGACTTGATTAGGGTATATCACATATTCCCATCTATCTTCTTCCCTTCTACCTTTTTATCCATCCAGTTATTCTGCAATTCAGTCCCACAAAAAATATTAATTCATCTGTAGGCAGTGTTGTTTACTTCATGTTTCAGGCTTTTTCCTCCATCACTTTTGCTAATTGCCTTCTGCTTTCACCCTTGTCCCCTTGTCTACTTTTAGAAATATCTATTGTTATTTTGTTGTTGTTGTTAATCTCATATATGTGTCTGTCTTTTTAGTCCCCCTCCTTTTTTTTCTGGGAGAATTCCTTTCATTAATTGTGCTTTTCTTCATTGCTATGTATGTTTACTTTTCTTATAACTCTGTTGCCTGGGGGTTTTGCAAAGCAAATAATAGGCCATGGTCTGGTTTTCTTTTTTGGAATGTTTCAAATGCGTTTTGTTGTTGTTGTTGTTGTTACAGAATGTTTATCTTTTGTCATTCATGGTTAGGTTCAGGTTTTCAAAGTATGTCACTTAAGGTTGCATCTTGACATCATATTGCTCTTCAGAACACATTTCATTCCCTCCTATGATTTTCTGGTAGGTGTAGAACAGTCTTGTTATTCAAATTTCCTTTCCTTTCCACTTAATCTTTCTCCTGATCACTTATAGAATTTATCACTAGAATTGTTAAATTTAAGTACTATGTGTAGTGGAGTTTGCAGCATAGGCTTTTTTTTTTCTGGAGGCGATATGTGGATTTTTTGGATTGGCATTTTATTTTCTGTGTTCAGAAATTCTGAGCAGTTTTCTTTTATTACGGTGTTCTGACTTTTAGTGTATTGTTCTAGGACACATGTAATCCTTAAGTTGTCACTAAGCAGTCTGCTTTTTTGAAATCAACGTCTTGCTTGTCTAATGATTCATGTCTTTTTTTTCAACATCGCTTTTTGCTTTTCTCCCTGATTGTTTTTAACTTCTGAGTATTTGCATTCCCAGTCACTTATTCTCTTTTGTTTCTTTGGTGATGTTTGCCACTCTGGATTCAAGACGTATTCTGTTGCAAGGTCATGAATTAGCTTGTTCAGCCCTGGCAGTAGGTTGGCGGGAGAGTGAAGAGTTGCTGAGGGATCATGTTAGAGATCAGCTGTCTACTGTTGGTTCATAGGATTGTCACCTCATTAAGTTTCTTAGTGTCTCAGACCAGAGGCATCAAACACATGGCCACAACACTCCCCACATGCACGCAAACTAAATTAAAATGTAACTGGGAAATATTTAACGAAATAAAAAAATACAATAGAACATTAACATTAATATATAGTTTTCTAAGTCAGTGTGTGGCCTGCAGAGATCCTTATAAATGATTTAGTGGTCCCCATTTCTATCTGACACCACTGTCAAGACCCTGGAGGCTGTGAGACTGTTTTATCTCTTACAGATAATTTCTGCTTTGTTGGAAGTTTAAGAGGTTATCTGAGAAAATGTCTAGTGCTCCATTTTGTTGGTCACATAACCCAGAAGTCTTCTATTACACATTTAAAGTTCCTTCACCACCTTCCAGTTGTGTCCTTTCCAGTTTTCTTACATTTTACTCTCCTAAACACAATCTATATTCCTGTTACACTGACCTTCTGGCAGTCCCTTAAGCAAAACATTTCTCTCTCATATCTCTGCCTTTGTGCTGGCTATCACCTATGTCTTGAATGCTTTGTCTCCTTGCTTCCAACGGTTACATTTCCCTGGCCTCCTTCAAGACATGGCTCAACTAACCTTCTGTAGGAAACCTTTTCTGGCCCTGCCCATTCTGCCCAAGCTATTACTGACTTCTCTGGGATTATCTTTCATATATTCTGTAATATATTATGAGTTTTTTTTTAACCTCTCTTTCTTGTTAGAATGTTACCTTCTTGAGAGTGGGAGCAGCATTTCTTTGTATTCCTAGCACTTAATACAGTGACTGGAATAGTAAGTACTTAATAAATGCTTAAAAGTCTAGAAACACTGTGAGATATATAAAGACAGAGAGGCGAATACAGTAGATAGATACAAGATATACAGAAAGTAGTTTACTAAAAGAATACCAGGAATGATGTGTTTGGATTAGTGGGAGTGGAGGTAGGTAGAGCGAATTGACATGAATGGTAGGCCAAATTTAGATTTAACTGAACACGTGGGCACTACAGGTTTCTGACGAGGGGAATGTCATATCACGCAAAAGCAACTGGTTACAAGAACCTTCTAAAACGTTTGGGGAATAGTCCACATCATTCTGGAACACAGGTGGCACAGGAGATGGAGACAAGAAGGATTAAAAAAAGGAGTTCGGCCTATAAGGAGAATGGGGGGGGGGGGTTCTAGGGCCTAGGAGACATTCTTCCTCAAGCCTGCTGCATCAAACAACAGAAAAAACCTGTCAGAATATTTACATTCTTTGATTGCAAATTACTCCACCTTACTGTTAGAGAGGAGGTGATATATAACAGAAACAAAACCAAAAAATGCCATCTTATGAACTTTAGTTTAAAGAATAAATTTATTTCAAGAAATGTATTGCCCAGATAAAGATATAATGTGATCCAAGAACTTTAAATGGTAGCCTTCTATCAAGAAATATTTTCTTATCATTTAAGACAGCAACATCCTAATCTATAAATATATATAAGTAGTGCCAGTAAAACTTGAATGCCAAAGGTAAAATAGTTTTCATATTTAGTATAGCAAAAAATCAGTCAAACTACATTAAAAACAAACAAACAGGACTCAACAGAAAAGAAATATGCATCTCTGATGCTATTAATGTATCATGTGTAATCTTAACTAAATATCTCAGTTATAAGATAGTAATACAAAATAATTACGGTTTCAGTTATAATCTTTGTGAGGAAAAACTGAGTTTTAGGGTGACAATTAAAGGTTATCCTCCCATTAATATTCAGGATGTGAGAATAAATAGCAAATGTTCAAAACAGAAATCACACGTACCTATGTTTAACAGATAATTGTACCTTAAGTGAAATTCTACATGTGTGAAAAAGAAGAGTGCAAAAACTTCTGTTAATCCATTTATTTAAACCAGAAGGTAATTATGAAAACATTTCACAAATGATTTTTTTTTTTGCACAAGGAAACAGGTAAGAGTCAGGCATGCAACTTAAGCCTCAGAAGTGGTATGTGCCTTGCACCCAAGCTCTTTGATGGTCCTGGAAGTTACAGAGTAGTGGGGAATCAGCTGCAGCTCACCAATGGAGAGAAGGCTTGGTTTCAGCCATTCTTTCCTTGAGGCCTATCCACTAGCTATGTCCTTCCATACTCAGGAAGTAACAGAGGGAGCTCCCACACTAGGAAAATGAAGGTATACAGTTGTCTCTGTGGCAGACTTTCCAAAGGATGATGATGAGTGGGTTGGTCACTGACAACTAAGTCTCTCTACAAATTCTGCAGTCACATCATCACATGCCTGAGGCCCTGCCTTTCCTCACTACTCTAATTCTAGGCTCCTCAAGCAGCTTGGGTATAAAGCAGATACCACATCTTGTGCTTAGGTTACAAGCCTGACTCCTGTTCTGACTTTGCAAAAAAGCTGAGTTGTGAAATTTTTTATCATTACTTTCACGACAAGACCCTCAGCTGGTCCTCATCTAGCTCTCTCTGGGCTATGTTGCTGAGTACCTAAAAAAGTGGTAAATAAACAGAGTGGGCCACACAGATTTTTCATTAAAAACTGTAATAAAATATTTTTATGGGGTATGAAAGAAAAATAATACCTATGTCCTTGAACAAAACACTTTAGCAGTGTGGAAATACATGAGAAATCCTCCAGAACTCTGAACAATGAGCATTTGAGCTAAATTATGCCACTTTTATTGTTCTGGTTTTTCAAATGGCCAAGAGCTGTGTTTGATTCAAACTCTGATCAGTTGTGAAAAACTAAACAAGCTGTTCTGTAGAGATAGTTTATTGATGCTACTACACAATACAGCAAAAGGGCATTGGTACAAGTCACACTTTTATGCAATAGTTTCCCCACAATACATCCTCTGCCAGGGAGGCATGTGCCTGCCTGAGTTTTAAATGCCCATCTAGCCATTTCATGCTTGTAACTCTACTCAGTTTTGGACTCCAGGGCTTCTTCTGCTTCCTTTCTCAAACGAGCTTTCTTTTCTAAGTTCATGTTTGTCAGGGTCTCATGTCTTTTGGCAGCCTACAGGGAAGCAAAACAAAAGGCCTCATAACTACTCACTCCATACCAGTGACCAATCCCACCTAAACACTTCACCCAAGCCATTCCCCTTCACATTTTTTTCTACTTTGTCCAAATGGGTCCTAAAGTCAGTGGCTAATCCACCCAGTCATAACAGAGCATTGTCACTGTCCTTCCTCTGAATCCTGAGTCATTTCTTCTCTCTTCTCCAATTATATTTCTTCTGCTTGTTCACCAAAATATCGGTGGTGGTGTCTTCTGAATTTACATATTTTCCTGGGGTCAGCAGCAAAGAGATACAGAAAATGGAGACCTGCCACTCACTGACAATTCAAAGGTCAGGGGAGAAGGGGGGAACTCCCTTCTCCTATGAGAAGAGTGAACAAAGATACCCTCTTGACTCAAGGGAAGGGAGTGACCAGGGTTATAAAGAGGTGTTTCAAAATTCCTTAATAATCAATCATAAAACCTCCAGAATCTGCTAAGATGTTTTTAGCTGTTCTAACTTTTCCCTGTACCTTCCTTGAAGGAGGATTCAGGGATGTAGAGGGAAGGGAGTAAGTAAGACTCAGGTAACAAAAAAGTACCTTCAGTTTTCCTGAACTGACAGAACTGGGCATACACTTCCAGACACAGCATCCGTCCTTATCCTCTGTGCTGCAGAAGGTATACCCAGGTCCATGGCCTCGAACCTAACTAGTGGACTGAGAGCCTGAGAGCATCAGGCCAAGTTTGAGACAACCTTGCAACCGTCTGCCCAAAAAGCACTTCCAAGCCTTCCTAGGTGCTTGGAGAGCGACCCCAACTGCAGAGGGGGGAGGCTTACATGCCTTCCAGTCTTGGCTAGAGAAGAGCTTGGAGCTTCCCCTTACAGGCCACCAAAATGTTGAGGATTAAAGGTGCTGGGACCCCAAAATCACAACATATGAGTCCTGCCCAAGTCTTTCAGCCAAAGACAAAGTTTATTAGAACAGCAATCCGGGATGGATGAGATTTAAAGAATCTGCCATATTGGCCAGACTCTTAAGGAATCTAAGCATTTGTATTGCTAATGCAAGCGGGGCAGCTCTTCTGAGCCCTTGGCTAGACTCTTAAAGAATCTCACCATGTGGGGCTATGAAGCTTTTGTATGGCTTACAATAGTACCAGTCTATACAGTCTGCTGCTTTCTTCCACAGACCAGCATAGAGGGAGCATTTCTCTTTACTTCACACACTCTCTCCCTACCCAACAAGCACAGAACTCATAGAAACCTATATGCAAATATAGAAAACACATGAAGCACTCAAGATAGTTTCCTTTGGAAGAAACCAATGGGACAACATCCTGACATTTTAATGAAGCCCTACCTCTCCAACAGGTTCCTACATAATACTTTCCAAACTCACAGTGCTCCCTGTGAACTGGATTTCTCCTAAAAGGTAAAAAGACTTTTCATCTTCTGCATTTTCTATGGGATAAAATTAAGAGTCCCAGCCAACCCAGTCACATTGTGGACTGTTCAAGTCACCAAAACTCAATTACCACATGACCTCTTAAACCACCAGGATGTATTGGGGAAGTGCTAATCTGATAACCCAAACAAATAATTGAAGCCCTGTAAGTTCATTAAATTGGTTGGTGAACTTCCTGATCAATCCCCTTTAAACCTATCGTTTTTAAATCTGCTCCCTTGAATGACATTTTCCACTGTTTCTTAGAACATATTCTCCTAATTTTTCACAGGGAAACAGTTCTATTTCTTGTTCTTTCCCTGCTCTCCTCAAATAAATTTCTGTTATGTGTGTAATTCAGCTTTGCTGTAGGCCCACATTACCTAAAATGGAACCACTCTTGTGGGAGATGCCAGGAACATGCTTCAGGGAGAAGACAACTTATGTTGTGGGTGAGAACAGCCTCATTCCATTGGCCATGGAGCCTAGACAAGCTGAATTGCCATGTACTCTCTTGCCAGTGGTGTCCATGGATGAAGGTCTTGTTCACTCACAAGCACAGGCACAATGCACAAACTTGGGTAGAGGGAAGGGCCACCTCTATACCCTACACCCCACTCATTAAGCCTTGTGGCCCCCCAAAAAAGGCCTAGAGTCTTGGTTTGTTTAGGTTGTCCTTTTCAGATCCTCTTAAGATCTTAGATCTTCACAACCCTGGAGGTTGAGCTATGACAACCTTGGAGCCAGGATTTAAGGCCAAATGTTGATGCCTGCCCAGCAGGGAAACCCTGAGAAGCCAGGGTGCTGGAGTGTGAGCCCAGGAGGGCTTTAGACTTGGAACCTGGTTGAACAACACTGTGCAGGAATTGAGCTAAGCTGTGAAACTAACCCCAGCCCCGAAAAGACCCAGAAAACACAGGGGGGGATCATATCCCCTGATGCTGGAGGGGAGATGTCTGTTCTTGCTGTACCTCTGAAGTAAATACTTCTTTGTAAAAGCTGATCTGACTTAAATGGAACTAGGATGCTTAGACCTCTAAAGCTGAGGGAACACAATTAGTGGGAGCTTGAGCCGGAGACAGATTCTAGATCCTCCTAACCCTCTTAAAGGTACCAGAGAGCCCTAGGACAAGGGTAAAATGTAACATAACTGGCACCCAGGCAATAGAATCATTGATACATGCAGAAACATGTCCAAGGTCTAGTTTACCTAAAGTTGGAGGAGCTTATCAATGAACTATTGGCAGGGTGATGAATTTTTTGGACATAACACTTAAAGACCACTTACTAAGTTACAGAAAGGTTATCATATTTGTTGGTGGAAGGAATACCCATACTGGTGAAATAATAGATTCCTAAATATTTAAGAATTATTATGACTGAAGACACAAAAGTTCTGGTTTCTAAAAATATTGCTGAGGGAAAATTACTTCGAAAGGTTCAAAGCAATGACAGGACCATGGGGATAAAAGGGCCACTTAAACACTGTTTTGGCAGGACTGTAAAATGTTTGGAGTCTTTTTGAAAAGCAATTTAGCAATTTGTTTTAAGAACCACAAAACTGATAATGATTTTTTATTTTGTAATTTTGGGAAAATGCCACAAGAAAATCAAAAATATGGGGAAGTATTCTAAATCAAGATATTCACAGCAGTGCTATTTATAATAGTGAAAAACTGAAAGCATCTCAAATAGCCTACATTTGGGGAAAGGCCATGTTCAATGAACACAACAGAACAACTTAAGACTTCTAAAAAAGGCAAGTATGTGGACTTTAGGGATACATGGAAGTACATATCAGAAGTGTTATAGTAAAAAAAAAAAACACATTGACAACCCAGCATAAGCCATTTCTTTCTCCAGTTCATTTTACAGATGAGAAAACTAAGGCTAACTAGGTTAAGTGACTTGCCTAGGGTCACCGAGCTAGTGTCTGAGGCCAGATTTGAACTCAGGAAGATGAGTCTTCCTGACTCCCTGCTCTATCTACTGTGCCACCTAGCTGCCCAGTAAAAACCTCCATGCAAATAAATACCAATCAGGAAAGAACCTGGAGGTAATGAAATGGTTTAGAGTTTAAAGCTGATCAGATTATTTCTCTTCCTGAATGAAGTTAAATTATTCAGAAAGTCAAACTAAACAGACTTGGAGTTTCTTGACAGAGGTGATGAAAGCTGAGTTAACTTAATGGTACTTGAATTTGCTGTCATTTTTCAACTGTTCTGTGTTATTCTTCCAACAATTCTTGCAAATGATAGAAAATTGGATCTATAATGAAGAACCTTATGGAGTAGGGTGCTTCTGGCTCCTTGTTCTATCCCAAAGAGAAGAGAACAGGGCAAACAGGAAAGACCACCTGGTAAAGAAACCTAACATGTACCTTCAATACTGGAATTTACAGCATTTAGTGGGGCAACATTAGGACCTATCACATTTTTTAAAAACTTCTTACAATATAATAAACATTTATTAAGTTCCTATTATGTGCCAGGTAGTATGCAAAGTACTGGGGATACAAATAAGAAAAAGAAAAAAGACTCTTGAATCCTAAAGTAACAAAACTTTACATGTGTTCAACTGCAAGCATCTCCTTAAGGATTTTGAGTACCTCTTTTAAGCTCTTCTTTAAAGTCTACAACACACTTATCTTCTATATTATGCCAAGTTGGAAAAACAAAGCATCCAGCCAAAGAGAAAAATGAATTGGGACTATACCAGTGAATTTCCCAAAGTAATTTGGCCATGCAACACTTTGGGTATCGAAATACATTAAACAAAGGTGTATTTTAAATGCTAATGTTGAGGACATGAGGGAACACTGATGATAAGGGAAATGTTAGAGAAAAATGGCAATTAACATAGTTTCATGATGAAAAATCATTATATATATTGTATATATACACACATATACCTATACTAATGTAAATATATAATTTAAGTCAATAGGTTAGAACAGTAATTCTCAAACTTTTTGTACTTAGGACCCACCCCTTTCACACTTTTAAAATTACTGAGGATCCCAAACAGCTTTTGTTTATGTGGGTTATATCTCTTAATATTTACAATTAGAAATTAAAACTCATAAATTTTAGAGAATATTTATTAATTTTAAAACATTAATAACCCCCTTATATGTTAACATAATATATTTTTCTGAAAAAGCAATATTTTCCAAAACAAAAAAATTTAGAGAAGAATGGTACTGTTTTACATATTTTGCAAATCTCATTAGTGTCTGACTTAATAAAAGATAGCCAGATTCTCCCATCTGCTTTAGCATTCAATCTTTTGTGATATATTGCTTTGATTGAAGTATATGAAGAAATTCCAGCCTCATACAGACAAGTAAATTGGGAAATGAATATTTCACTAGGCAAATAACATCTAAGTATTGTTATGAAAATAGTTTTGACCTCTTGGACCTCCTGAAAGGGTCTCAGGGATCTTCAGGGATCCATGGACCACATTCTGAGGACTTCTTTAGAAAGGAAATTATCACCAGCAATCTTGTTATAGAACCCCTGCAAATGAACAAGGTTACAATGAATAGTTTGGGAAACTCTCAGATGATATCTAAATACCTTTGGTACAAAGTCCTAGGAGTAGACTAAGCTCATGGCTCTAAATTGCCAAAAGGCCAGAATCAAATAAATAAATAAATGAATGAATGAATGGATGAATGAATGAATGGCTACACAAATAAATGAATGAATGAATGAATGAATGAATAAATAAATAGGCTGCCAAAAGAACAGCACTGCAATTCTCTCCCATGGTGAGCAGAAATGAGTCATAAAGAAGAGCAAATTGCAAAAAAAAAAAAAAAAAGGGGGGGGGCAGCTACGTGGCGCAGTGGATAGAGAACTGGCCCTGAAGTCAGGAGGACCTGAGTTCAAATCTGGCCTCAGACCAAACACTTGACACTTACAAGCTATGTGACCTTGGGCAAGTCACTTAACCCCAATTGCCTTAAAAAAAAAAAAAGAACGAAAGAAAAAAGATCAAGTTTGACTATTTGATTAGACAGTACTCAGAGGTGAAACATATCTCTTATATATAGTACTACCAAAAAAAAAAAAGAACAGCAAATTGAATCAGTTTTTGTTTTGTTAACTATAGTCCCACCTACTTCTCTGCATCCTCATTCCTCATTTCCAAAGCTAAGAAAAATTAGGTGAAGGGAGATGCACCCATGTTGGTACCCTTGGGGAGGTCTGGACCACCAGATGTTGCTTAGCACATTCAGGAAATGAGGAAGGGACAAGAACAGCATAAACTCTAGCCCTTGAACCTCTCCAAGTCCAAATCCTGCTGGGGGTCAGAACTGTGGCTGATGGAAAATGGAGTCATCTTTATGTGGCTATTACAAGATAGATCAATGTATGTTCCACAAGTCATCATAGAAAATAAGATGCAGAGGGAAAATCTACACTTACCTGTTTTCCCTGAAAAATCATAAGTATGCATCCCATTACAGTCAGGGCAATCATGATGTAGCTGATCTTTATCCGGACCCTGTTCTTGGCAGCATCAAGCATCTCCAACCTAACAAAATAAGACCAGATAATTCAATTTGTATAAGAACCAGGCAACACGTGGGCCATTTTGTATCAGAGAATCTTAGAAACCCCACAGCTAAAAGAGACCTACAGCCCCAACTCTTAACACACAAATACTTTCTACAGCATCCCTGCTGGCTGGCTGTGCAGCCTCTCCTCCAACAGCTCCAATACAGGAAGAACTTGCTGTTTCACAAAACTCTTTATTCCATTTCTAGAGAGCTGTTAGAAACCTGTTTTAGTAAGGTCACACATGAAATAAAAGAGGAAGGAACTGAAGTCAAGTCCTCTGACTTCTGATCCAGCATTTGGTCCATCATGCTATGCTAACTTTCCTTTTAAAGTCTACCTCCATAAAACTTCTAGTTGGCATTTCAACAGAAAAGACCGTTCTGACTGAATAGACTAATCATGGCATCTAGAGTTGGAAGAGATCGTAGGGGCATATAATCCAACCACCTTCCTACAAATGACTTGTACCACATTTCTGGTAAGCAGTTTCTCAGTCTCTATTTCGATACCTCCAATGGCAGGGAGTTCACTACCTTACAAAGTAACCCACTGCATTTTTGGACTGCTTTTGTAGCTAGAAAGCTCTTCCCTCTATTAAAATGAAATCTTCCTTCCTGTAATTTCCACTAGTGGTGGAATACTTTTTTGAGAAATAATTATTTCCTCATCCACATGACATCCCTTCAAACATCTGAAGGCAGCTATCATGTTTCTCCTGGTTTTCTCTTCTACAAAGTGACATCTCTGACATTGTGGGGAGCATAAAAAAGGTGAGTTACATTTATAATCCGCTTTTAAAAAAGAATTCCAATAAGGAGAATAAGGTTAAAGGGCCTCCATATATTTTCCAGTTATATGAATAAGCAGGACAAGCAGTATCTATATAGAAATATTAATAGCAAAACAGAAATCTCTTTAATCCATAGTTTATTTTCCCAAGGTGGCATGTGTTTATATTTTAGACTTGCATACATATGGATTTGTGTCCACTGATCTCAGAATTATGCAGAAGGGCAAGTCTGTGGCCAGTTATCTGTCAGCGAACACACAAGCAGCCTCTATCCTAGCACCCCTGGGACCAATGTGTGTCTTCCAGCCAGCTCTATGCCATGATATTCTGCCTGTCATAGGAGAAGTATCAAAAATAATTTAGAGAAAGGAGGACATTTCAATAAAACTCCACACACAATACAAAAAAATACAATGTGATCTCAAAGTCTAAAAGGAAACACTTATGTTTACAAAGTTCTTTACATACGTTATCTCATTTGATCCTGCAACCTCCTTGTAAGGTAAGTGGTACAGGCATTATTTTCCTCATTTTACAGATGAGGAAGCTGAGTTTCAATGAGGCTAAGTGACTATTGTTCCTTGGCTAGTTTAAGTGTCAGGGCCAACACTGAAGCCCAGGTCTTCAGGAATCCATTACTCTTCCCACTGGACAAGCAACTACCTTGACAGCTGGTTTAGATCAATGAGACCTGGCTATCACCTGGAATGACCTGCTTAACTGGTCCAAAATGACAGTTGTTGATCTATAAGACGGTTTATCCAGAGAAGTTATTTTCCCTCAGAGTGAAAGAGAGAGAGAGAGAGACAGACAGACAGACAGACAGAGACAGAGAAAGAGAGAAGGATAAACAAAAGAAACTAAGATGGAGAGAAATATACAGTAATCATAACTATGAATGTAACTAGGGTGAACTCAACCATAAAATCAAAGCAGACAGCAGAATGGATTAGAAACCAGAGTACAACAATATGCTGTTTACAAGAAACATTTGAAACAGAAAGACGTGTGTGTGTGCGCGCACATGCACACGCGTGCGCACACACACACACACAGAGTTAAAATAAGAGACTGGAACAAAACTGATTACGCTTCAGCCAAAATAAAAAAGGCAAGGACAGCAATCATGACTTCAAACAAAGCAAAAGCAAAATTAAACCTAATTAAAAGAGATAATCAGAGAAACGACATTTTGCTAAGATATCATAAACAATGAAGTAATATCAAAAATTTTTACAAGGAGGAGCTAGGTAGCGCAGTGGATAGAGCACCGGTCCTGAAGTCAAGAGGACCTGAGTGCAAATGTGACCTCAGACCAAACACTTGACACTTACTAGCTGTGTGACCCTGGGCAAGTCACTTAACCCCAACTGCCTAAAAAAAAAAATAATAATTTATGGCTAGTTTCTCTGATAAAGGTCAAACTTCTCAAATATGTAGCAAACTGGGTCAAATATGTAACAATAAGAACCATTCCCCAATTGATAAATGGTCAAGGGATATAAGGAGACAGTTTTCAGAAGAAATCAAAGCTACCTATAGTTATATAAAAATATTCTAAATCACTATTGATTAGAGAAATGCAAATTAAAACATGTGAGGTACCATCTCACATCTAACAGAAATGACAAATGCTAAAGGGGACATGGGAAAATAGGTACAGTAATGAACTGCTAGTGGAGATGTGAACTGGTCCAGCCATTCTGGAGAGCAATTTGGAACTATGCCCAAAGGGCTATAAAACTGTGTATGCCCTTTGACCCAGCAATAACCCTTCTAGGTCTATATCCCAAAAAGCTCAAAGTAAAAGAACCTATATATACAAAACTATTTATAGCAGCTCTTTCTGTGGTGGCAAAGAATTGGACACTGAGGTGATGTTCATCAACTGGGGAACAGCTGAACAAATTGTGGTTTATCACTGTTATGGAACACTACTATGCTATAAGAAATGACATGGGGGATGGTTTCAGAAAAACCTAGAAAGACCTATATGAACAGATGCAAAGCAAAATGAACAGAATCAGGAGATTACTGGATACTGCAATATTGTAATGATGATCGACTATGAAAGACTTAGCTACTCTGATCAATGCAATGATCCAAGACAATTTAGAAGGATTCATGATGAAAATTGCTATCCATTTCCAAAGAGAGAACTGATGAACTCTGAGTGTAAACTGAAATAAAATTTTCTCACTTTCTTTATTTTCTTGCTTTTTCTGGGTGATATAGCTAATATAGAAATATGTTTTGCATGATTTTACTTATATAATGGTTATCATATTGCCTGCCTTCTCAGCTGATAGGAGATGGTCTAGATGAGGGAGAGAATTAGAATGCAAATTTAAAAAAAAAAAGCTCTCCAAAAGAATTTTTTTTTTAAAGAAGAAATAAGAAGCACGGTCCCTGACAGTTAATTAACTTTTCTCTTTTCCAAGCAAGCTAGGGAAACAGCCTGGAGCAAGCACAGATGACATTCCCAAGTCTGGAGAGTACCAGCTGCCTGAAAGTGAATATTTCAGACACTGTCAAAATATTTTTAGCAATGCTCAGGGCTCTTTCTTCCAGAAACAAGAATCAGTAGCTGTGAGAATGGATCAGTTTACTAGTACCTGTATGTTGGTCACAAAATGTGTTCCAATGCAGGAAAAACATCTGATTTTCTTCCATTACATCTGAGAAATAAACAAGATTCAAAGAGATGGATGCACTAATTTTCTAGTAAAAAGCAATGTGTTACCTATCACACATGGCACTGCCTTCGGCATCACCACGCAGCAGAGGTTGGTTAACTAGCCACAACAAAAAAAGGAGCTGAAAAAATTATTTAGAGAAGTAGGTTCTGGCAGGTGAACATGGTCACTTGAAAGATGGATTAGGGAATGTCAAACAGAGATACTTAAAACTTTTTGCTGGTCAAACAGGTCAACTCTGATTTATGACAGCATCTGGTATCTACCCATATAAAGGGCATATTTAAAACATATACTTTTAGAGAATGTTACAATCTAAGCAAAGGACATTAGAAAACCCCAAGGCTAAGCCCACTCTATTTATGAATGAATCACAGGACTGGAGCATTTAGAACTGAAAGGGACTTTCTAAATGACTTGGTCTAGGGGCTCTTAACCAAGGGTAAATAAATCCCCCAATGGATTTGTGGATAGAGTTCTGGAGAGTCTGTAAACTTGGATGGGGAAAAAAACTGCATCTTTATTTTCATGAACCTTTAGTTTCTTTCATAATGTTATATATTTTATGCATTTAAAAATATTATTCAAAGAAGGGGTCATAGGCTTTACCAAGCTACCATGGGGTCACAAAAAAGTTTTTTAAAAATCTGATATAGTGAAATGCCCTCATTTAATTTAGGTCTTATTGGTTGGTTTTTGTTTGTTTGTTTTGCTTTTGTTTTACTGATGGTTTAGTTCTTAAATAACACACATTTCTAAGTATATCTCTCCCCCTAGCCACAAGCCAATAAGCCTTCCCTTGGGCCAAAGATTTTTTTTTAAACAACAACAACAACAAAAAGCTCAGTAAGATCAATATGAAACACTGATCTGCTCTGACAGAATATGCAACACTCTATACTCACAGTTACCCACATTTCAATGAAAGGTGGGAGGGGCATTTTCTCAGCTCTTCTCTGGGCAAAGCCTAGTCAATACAATTACACAATTCAGTTTAATTGTATCTTTTCCCATCTACATTGCTGTAGTCAACTTTGCTTACTTTATTTATGAATTATTTGAAAAAAATCTTCCTCTATTCTCTGAATTGTTCATATTTTCTTTTCTCATAAATAGCATTTTATTTTTTTCCAATTATATGTAAAGATGATTTTCAACATTCATTTTTAATAAGATTTTGAGTTCCGAATGTTTTCTCTCTCCTTCCCTTCCCATCCCTCCTCCCCAAGACAGCAAGCAATCTGATATAGGTTACATATGTGCAATCGTGTAAAAATATTTCCACATTAGTCATGTTGTGAAAGAAGAAACAGAGCGAAAGGGAAAAGGCATAAATAAAAAAAAGTGAAAACAGTATGGTTTGATCTGCATTCAGACTCTATAGTTCTTTCTCTCTATGTGGATAGCATTTTCTATCATGAGGCCTTTGGAGATGTCTTAGCTCCTTGCACTGCTGAGAAGGGCTAAGTCTATCAAGGTTAGTCATCGTACAATGTGGCTGTTACTGTGTACAACCTTCTCCTGGTTCTGCTCACTTCACTCAGCATCAGTCCATAACAAGTCTTTCCAGGTTTTTCTGGAATCTACCTGCTCATCATTTCCTACAGCACAACAGTATTCCATTACATTCATATACCACAATTTGTTCAGCCATTCCACAACTGATGGGCATCCCCTCAATTTCTAATTCTTTACCACAAAAAGAACCACTATACATATTTTTGTACATGTGGGGTCCTTTTCCCTTTTTTATGATCTCTCTGGGATACAGACCTTGTAGTGGTACCACTGGATCAGAGAGTATGCACAGTTTGATTGCCCTTTGGATACAGTTCCAAACTGCTCTCCGGAATAGTGGAGTTCACAACTCCACCAACAATGCATTAGTGTCCCAATTTTCCCACATCATCTCCAACATTTATCATTTTCCTTTTCTGTCCTATTAGCCAATCTGATAGGTGTTAGTGGTACCTTAGAGTTGTTTTAATTTGTACTTCTTTAATCAATAGTGATTTGCAGTATTTTTTTCATAAGACTATAGGTAGCTTTAAGTTATTCATCTGAAAACTACCTGTTCATGTGCTTTGACCAGTTATCAACTGGGAATGACTTGTATTCTTATAAATTTGACTCAGTTCTTTATATATTTTGGAAATGAGGCCTTTATCAGAGACACTGGCTGTAGAAATTATTTCCCATCTCTCCGTTTTCTTTCTAATCTTGGTTATGTTCATTTTGTTTGTTCAAAACCCTTTTAATCTAATTAAAAATATCCATTTTGCATTTTATAATGTACTCTATCTCTTGCCTGGTCATAAATTATTCCCTTCTCCATAGATCTATTCCTTCCTCATAAACTATTCCTTGCACTCTTAATTTGCTTATGGTATCACCTTTTATGTCTAAATTACGTACCCATTTTGACCTTATCTTGTTATATAATGTAACATGTTGGTCTATGCCTAGTTTCTGCCATACTGTTTTCCTGTTTTTCCAGTAGTTTTTGTCAGATTGTGAAGTTCTTATCCCAGAAGCTGGAGTCTTTGGATTTATCAAACAGTAGATTATGATGGTCATTGACTACAGTGTCTTGTGTACCTAACCTATTCCACTGATCCACCGCTCTATTTCTTAGCCAGTACCAAATGGTTTTAATGATTGCCACTTTATAATATAGTTTTAGATCTGGTATGGCTAGGCTACCTTCCTTTGTATTTTTTTTTATTAATTCCCTTGATATTCTTTTTTTTTTTTTGATGAGGCAATTGGGGTTAAGTGACTTGCCCAGAGTCACAGTTAGTAAGTATTATGTGTCTGAGGCTGGGTTTGAACTCAGGACCTTCTGACTCCAGGGCCAGTGCTCTATCCACTGCGCCACCTAGCTGCCCCTCCCTTGATATTCTTGACCTTTTGTTTTTCCAGATGAATTTTGTTATTATTTTTTCTAGCTCCACAAAATAATTTTTGATAGTCTGATTGGTATGGCACTGAATGAGTAAATTAATTTAGGTAGAACTGTCATTTTTATTATATAAGCTCAGCCTACCCACGAGCAATTGATATTTTTCCAATTGTTTACATCTGACTTCATTTGTGTGAAAAGTGTTTTGTAGTTGTGTTCCTGGGTTTGTCTCAGCAGGTAGACTCCCAAATATTTTATACTGTCTACAGTTACCTTAAATGGAATTTCTTTTTCTATCTCTTGCTGCTGGGCTTTGTTGGCAATATATAGAAATGTTGATGACTTACGTGGGTTTACCTTATATCCTGAAACTTTGCTAAAGTTGTTAAGTATTTTAAACAGTTTTTTAATTGATTCTCTAGGATTCTCTAAGTATAGCATCATATCATCTGCAAAGAGTGATAATTTTGTTTCTTCATTGCCTAATCTAATTCCTTCAATTTCTTCTTCTCTTATTGCTAAAGCTAACATTCCTTGTACAATACTGAATAATAGTGGTGGTATTAGGCATCTGTGTTTCACCCCTGATATTACTGGGAAGGCTTTTAGCTTATCCCCATTACAAATAATCACATTTGTTTCTTATACTACATACTATGTTTATGTAACTCAATTTATTTAGCCATTCCCTAATCAATACAGCTCTATTATTTTATAAAACTGAGACTGCAAATCGACAAATATTTAGCAAATATTTTCTACCTGCTTAGAACTGTGGTAGACTTTATGAAAGTTAAAAAGTTTAATGTTTCCCAGTCAATATGGCTGCCTGAAAGGAGGCTGACTAGTCAGCTCCCACACATCCAACAAACCCAATCTATGCACCAAACTGAATAATCATCAAGAATCCCATTAGGAACTACAGTGATTTCTTCCACCCTACAACTTCACAAAAAGCTAGCCAGAAGCACATGAGTAAGAGGAAAGGGGATGCCAGCAAAACCAGAACCACTGTAGGCAACCAAGACAGTGATGTCTTAGAGATGGGCCAGGGACATTTCTATGGTTCTGATGAAAAGCACTCTCACAGAAAAAGCCCTAAAACTTGGATCTAAAATCCCATCTGACTATAAGCTCAGTTAAGCTCTGTGACCCTGTTTTGTCTATAAAATGAAAATAATATTTCCGTTACCTACTTCAGAGTTGTGAGAGTCAGAAAATACATTGAAAAACATGTGAAGTGCCATATACATGAAAGGTCTATTTGTTTTAAAAACAAAGAAACCACCTCTCTGGGCCTGGAGGAGACTTACACAAAATTACACATCAAATGAGTGGAATAAAGAGGCTAGAACTCAGGTCTCCTCACTCCCAGTGGTCCTTTGACCAAACCAAATAATTCATCTATGTCTTCAATGACTGGAGTTAGGTAACTTTGGCAAGCTAAAGAAACTGGCCTGATGGTGTATCATAATTTCACTGAGCCTCCGTTACCCCATAAAATGGGGTAAATAATATTTGCCCTATTTGTCTCACAAGGCTGTTGTGCCTTGTAAACTGTAAAGCCCTAAATAAATGAGAACTGTTATTATAAGAACTCACTAGGAATAAGTATAAGAGATTGGGGAGAGAAAGGACAGAGAAGACTGACAGAAGAAAGGGAGGTAAAAATAGCAGAACTCCAATTCTGCCATGAGACTGCCTCTATCATACTCATGAGGCACTTGGTTATGGACACCTAGGCCTCAGAACATGGCTGAGTTTTTGAGGCTGGTGGCTCTGTGCTTCTGTTTTAGTCCCCTCCTACCAACATAATCAGGCATTCAGGTATTTGCTGTGGAGGATACCACCATGTACACAATATAGGAAGGAGCACTTGACATGCAGCTGGGGTTGGAAGGGCTATCTACCACCTTTTTACAATTCTGGGTTCAGTACTCACGAGATTGTCTCTGGGATTTCATCTTCTCTTTTGAAACGGCCTGACCAGACAATTAACTTCTTTTCCCAGGCAGTGGGTTTATGTAATGGCACTCTACATTTATAAACCGCTGTGGAAAAACAAGTGAGAAATCTCACATTATTCAAGTTTAAGACTCTCTAGTTTAGTAAAAATGGTGACAGATAAATGCTTAAACAATAATATTAGCTATACTTATCTATTTTAAAACATATAAACCAAATGTTAATTAGAAGGGAAACTGAGCTATCCAGAGTTAACCCTTGGTTGGGAAGAACTTACTAAGAAATAATTCCCTTCTTAATTCCCACTGAAACATTTATTTACCAACCAAACATATATATTACACATGGGGGAGAGAGTATCAGAAAGGGAGCAATAACAGAAGCTCAAGATCATGGCAAATAAACTCAAGTTTAGATTAAGGATCTCACTAACAAACAGCTACATAAACTTGTATTGCTATTCAACTTTTTACGTGTTTCCGTGTTATTCCCAACTAGCCTGTAAACTCCTCAAGAACTGGGTCGGTGTACTACCATTTCTCTATATCCACCTTAACACCTGATGTAGTAATGCTTTATACTTGGCAAGCAGCTAATAAATTTGCTGATTTCTTCATCCACAGATTCTGTCAGAAAAGTGGGACAGAAAACTTGTTACTTCTTTAACAAACATTTATAAAGCACCTATTATGTTCAGAGCATGGTACTAGGTGCTAGAGGGATACAAAGTTTAGATAAGACTCATCTTTATCATTATGGAACTTATGCTCTGGAAGGGGACCAAACACATACAAATAACATATAGAATATGTCATATAATAACTATATAATAACATACAAGTACATTATGAAGTACCAAAGTATTAGCTTAATGAGGCTGAACAAAGGCCAACCCTTAAGGGCAGACCCTTTCAGAATTTAGAAGTAAACACAAAAAGGATGTAATGTAGTCACAATTCTCATTAAACAGAGAAACTCTCTTACCAGAAGCATGCAAAAATTTACCTATCACATGGAGAATTTTAAAAGCAGCCTACCAGAAAAATGATAGTCTTTAATTTAAAAGGACAAGGATAACACTGCACCTTCAGTAAGAGTGGCTAATTAGATCAGATCCACTGCTCCATCCGGCCCTAAGTTTTCTCACTGACAGAGACACTAAAGAATATTTTGTGGAAGGGAACTGTCCTCTGAGGAATTAACCGCAAAAAGCTAGATAAAGTCCCTTTAATAATTTACTGTGGTTCTAGCATCTTTGTGGATTACCTAAACCTTTCAATTTCTATTGTTAGCCTGAACTACTTCTGGTCATTAAAAAGCCTTTTTAAGTTTGCCACCTGTTGTGTTAAGAGTATCTCCTTTTATATATCCTAAATTCATTCTGTTCTTACCTCCACGGGGCATCCCTGTATCTTGATATTCCAGGATTTGATGGTCCCTTTTGTGAGTTTTTACACTGATCGTACTTTTTTTAGGCCAGACCCCAAAGTTAGTATTGCATATTTATTAGATATTTATTTTTATTGTGCCCTTATACTATAGCTTCTTCTTCCCTCTGAATAATCTGACTGTTCTACTATGGTTTTTCTCCAGCTCTGCTATGTCTTTTTTCAGGTAGGGCTAAGAGAACTGTCTAAGGTCATCTTGACATGAAGGCACCATGATCTGTACAGAATGGGATAATGTGTTTTGTCACAGAGCAAGGCACAGAGAAGGCACTTAATAAATACTTGTTGATTGTTTCTGATGTCTTTTCAGATGATGCATAGCTGGTTTGTTATAGTGAGGTGAAAACTGGACTGTGAAAATTAAATTTTGGATAAGAGAAAAATCCCTGATAGGAGACACTCATTCATTCAACAAATATTTAACAGTGTCCCACTATATACACAGCTACAAAAGAGGCACTATGCAGGGAAATACAAGACATGGTATGGTCCCTGCTCTCTGTAGGGAGCTCATGATCGAGTCAGAAAGGCAAGCTACATACGCACACTTTGTGAAAAGTTAAACAAACAAAACATGTCACAAAAAAAACCCCCTGTGATTTAAAATCAAAGGAGTGAGCTGGATGATAACTGAGGCAGTTCACAGCAAGAAGAGATCACTACAGGCCGGGATGGTAATGGAAGACTTCATGGAAGTCATAGGACCTGAGGTGCAATTTCAATTATGGACAAAGATTTGGACTGATAAAGAAGATGAGGGAGGCATTCAAGATGAAATCAATGGTGTAGGTTTGGAAGCAAATATGCTTCATGCTGTAGCATAGTATTCAATTCAGTTGCACAGGCATTGATAAAGAGCTCTATATTGGCCAGACCTAAGATTTCACTGTCACAGGGAAATCTCTGTGGAAGGACTCCCTCTACCAGTACAGATCAGCCATTATTTGGCAATTTGTAGTCTTAGTTGCTTGGGGGTTCTGAGAAATCACTTAACTTTCCCAGGGTTTCACAGCTTGTAATGTGCCCAAAGTGGGAACTGAACCCAGCAGCAGCACTCTCTTCCCATGATATACTCCACCTCCTTCTCCCATCAGAGTGGTATGTGAACTGTTATTTTTATTACATGGTTCTTAGTATAAATGCTATAGAAATTCAGAAGATGAGAGCAATTCAAATAATGGGAGATCATGTTTGTGTTTAGATGAATTCACTGAAATTAAATATAAAAATGGAAGTTAAAGAATATGTTCAGTCTTAAAATTTGAGCTCTGAGAAGTCAGGTCTTGGAGGCAAAGGTTTGGAATAGCTGGAGGAATAGCTAAAATCATAAGAGAATATGAATTCTTCAAAGAATTTTTTTAAGAGAATGAAGGATTGGGTTTTAGGAAATGCCCCAAATTAAGGGATAGGAAAAGAAGACAGCAAAGGAAAGAAAAACAGCAATGGAGAAAGAAGGAGGGCTAGATTAATTTAACGCCATAAAAAGTCAAGGTAGGAAAAAATTTCAAGAAAGAAGGAATGCTCAATTATATCAAATGCTACAGAGCTCAGAGTAAGAAGTTAGAAAAGATTGTTGGGAGTCCTCAGAGGACTCTGGAAAAACAATTTCGGTAAAATAGGAAAAATAGATTTCAGGGAGTTAGAATGAATATGTCTAAGTGGGGGGAAACAGGTATAGATCACAAGTTTAAATATTTAGTCTGAGAAGACTTCAATTTAAATATTTAGTCTAAGGACTAAATTTCATTCAAAAGGTGAATCTTGATTTGGGTTGTGAAGATTTAGACTGGTGAAGAGGTTGAAAGAGGTAACAGGAAGAACATGAGCAGAAGTAGGAGACTGATCACAATGAAACTATGAATAGGCAAGATTGAGAGGATCTTGAATGTTAGTCAGGCTGAGGAGGTATAATTGCTCCAGTGGTCAGGAAGACTTTGTACGCTGCTAAGAGAGAACTGACAGGAGTAAAGTGGTGTTTTAGATTTAATATAGCGGGCAGGATGAGTTTGAGTAGAAAAATATTAGAAACAAAGAAACTAGTGAGGAGACTGCTGCAGGGCCTAGATTTGTTTGTATGGTACTGAGTGAATAGTTCTCAGTAGAGCAAAATTTACGTTACTTACGTAGCTTAATTCAACTTTACCTGAAGTCCGAGATGGTGCTTTTGAATTTTCCTGTGGTTTTGTACAAAATCCTTTCATCATCTTCAAATCTCCTTTTCTGGCTAGCCTAAGAGAAGGGAAAACTTCTCTTTCACATAATCTCAGACAGTTTCCTGGAAAAAGAAGAAGAAATATTTCAGAGAATTGAGTTTGGAACTGTTTTCAGAGGAAAAATGCCTACAGATCACATAGCCCATTTACAATGATACATAAGTTTTATTTAGCTTACAAAACACATTACAATCAAATGTTTTCTATATCACATTTGCTTCCATTTTACAAGATATCCTCAGCTCTTTGCTATCCCTGGCAATGTCATATACTAACAATTTACATCCTCTGGATGAGGAAGTGGAAGAACCCATCCCTCTTCAACTTAGTTTACTCCTTTCAAAATTTACATATAATTTACATTATATGATCATATAATCAGTCACACATTTCTCATTCCCAAATGGCTTTTCCCACTGAGTGAAGTTTTAATAGGCTGTATCACTCTTGGAGACGTAATCTTGGATCCCAGCAGGACAGCATATGACTAGAAGCAAGTAACCTAGTTTGACTAGAGGTAGCAAGCAGACAGGACTTCAAGATATGGGTCTACTGGGATCTCTCCTCTTTGAACCAGCTCCTTTCTGGCTAGCAACAAGAGAGCAACCTCCCAGCTATGCTCCGGGCCTTTTTCCTTCTGGGTAGCCAGGAGGGAGTAAGTAGCAAGACTGTCTTGGGGGCAGTTAGGTGGCGCAGTGGATAGAGCACCGGCCCTGAAGTCAGGAGGACCTGAGTTCAAATCTGGCCTCAGACCAAACACTTGAACTTATTTATACTATGAAGTAAAAGCCTTGATTTGCAGCACTTTTCCTTTTCATTCTCCTCTGTTTTAAGTTCACATGGCCTTGTATCCACATAATCACAACTAGGCCTAAAACAGGTACCAACTGTAATCTATTATCATTGATAGATTTATTTGTTTGGTATTGAGTGAATAGTTCTAATAATCAATATGCTTGGTAGTTCAATTTCTACTATAATTATGTTTACTGTTGTGCTATTTCTCATATTGTCTATATGCTGCTATTATCTCCCTTTCTGGAACAAAAAAGTATAATTATTGTATGAGACTCAGCTCTACACATACTCTACGACCAAGAGCTAAAGATTTTAAGACTCCTAGAACCCCACAGACATGGAGTTCAGAAGACTCTCTAACCGCTGGTGGCAGTTACAGGCTTCCTAGTTAACTCCAGACAGCCTTCCTTATATAAAGGAAAAGTCAAGAAAAACAAACCAACATAATGATGGTTTCTGACAGCATGCAATCACATTACTGCCATAATAATTTACAAACTGATGATAATCTTAAACTCTATAGTTACTTGCATTATGGTACCTATGATGTCTGCTTTCACTTTATAACATTAGGGTAGAGGTCCTGTAACTTTTCCAAAGGAAATAATATTGTTTACAACTATTCTCCTTCTGGTACAATTCAGAAAGGGTGTATACAGTATAGGAATATAGGAAAGGAAAATCTGATGGTCTTTTTGTTTTAAAATGTTGCCTTCTCACCAAATCCCACATAAGAAATATACTGGGGGTTAAAACAATCTTTTACTACAAATGATTTTATTTGAATCAATCACCATCTAGCTGACAATAGTTATATTTGAGGGGACCACCTACTCTTCCAAATTACCCAGGTTTACAACTCCATTTGTGACTCAGTGCTACCATAAAGTAGAAGGAATTAAGATCAAAAGTCCTTTTAGTAAATTGGAGGTGGAGTAAACCAAAAAGTAGAGAGGTGAGAATCAAATCCTAATAACTCTTCCTTCCTAATCATTTCCCTAGGAGGGAAAAAGAAAAGGAAATGGAAAGAACAAATGATTTTGGTGCTCACCTGAAAGTACTAATAAAGGTATTTTTCCTTCTTAATGTTTAAGTATTTAAAATATACCATTCTATAGTTTGAGTGGATTTTAAAAACAAATTAACATTGGAGCACTTTTATAAAGCACTGTACTTGGAATATTTTGGGTAGATAAATGCTATGATTGTTGTCATCACCATTAAAAAATTCCTCTCAGCACCTATTCATAAAATATTAGCTTTTGGAGCTGGAAGGGACTTTAGAGATATCTAGTCCAACACTTCATTTTATAGATGAAGAAACTGAAGTCCTGAAAGGTTATGACTTGCCCAACATGACCAGGTAAATAGCTGGGCCAGGATGTGAACTTGGGTCCCAACTTCTGTGTTCCTATATAAACTTAGAAAAAGTAATAATGTACTCATTCAGTGTAATTTGATGAACTGAGGTTAAGTTCTGTTCAATGTCTTCTTATTTGGTTCTGCAACTTAAAAAAAAATTAGTTTCTAAAGGGAATAACACGATTGTAAATAAAACACTTCTTGATGCCTTAGGAAAGGTCCTTCACTTCTCTGCCACATCTGGATATATGCAGCAGTAGGGCAGGCATCAGGAGGATTAGGATTTATTTCAACACCAGTGGTAAAGGCTCAGGAATGTAAAAAATCAGTAGAAAAAGCGTGAATGGGCAGGTGATCAAAAGAGTTAACTGCCTCCTGAGGAAAAGTCAGATGTTCCTGGTCATGTCCTACATTCTGGAAAAAGCAAGGGCAAAGCGGCTAAGATTACAAGGAAGTATTTATAGTCTCTCAAAGAAAAAAAGAAAAGTGAAAAAAAAGTATGAAGAAAAACTTCCACAGTGACTTAAGGAGTACTATCCCTGTTTTACTAATGAGGAAAAACTGAAGCTCAAAGGTTACTGGATTTGCCCTTGTTGACAGTTCTTAGGAGTCAGAGCCAATAGCGGAAATCAAGTCTCCCAATTCCAGATTCAGCACTCTGCACTGCTATATACTGTCACAGGTTTTAAATCAAGTTAATTTTGGATGAATGAAGTCTATGGGCAGGTTATAGTTAGAGTGGCAGAGAGACAAGAGCTGGAGCTTAACTGAAGTGTAAAAAGATAGAAAATTATCTTTACGTTTCACATTCTCCCTCGTTCTGAAAGTATAGCCTCTTTACTAGATTTGTTTTTTTTTTTAATGAGAGAGTATTATTTAGCAAAAATGATACTGGATCTGAGTCAGGAGGACAGGCCATGAGTTCAAAGCTTGCCTCTTAAGAGCAAATGAACTCTAAGGAGCTCAGTTCAGCTCTCAATCTGTTCTCTCACCTGTTTTCATATGATCCACCTCACAGGACTATTGTAAAAAAAAGCATTCCAGGGGCAACTAGGTGGTGCAGTGGATAGAGCACCGGCCCTGGAGTCAGGAGGACCTGAGTTCTGATCTCAGACCAGATACTTGACACTTACTAGCTGTGTAACCCTGGGCAAGTCACTGAACCCCAAATGCCCTGTTGGGGGGGGCATTCTATAAACTTTACAAGGCTGTGTAAATGTAGGTTATTGCTTAAATATTGGAATTCAGTGGCTACTTGATTCCCAGTGAGCACATGTATTAACTTGCAGAAATGTGACTTCTTCCCTCCTGCCAAGTATAGCAGCCAATGCTTATTCTAGGACAAATAAGCAAAGGTGGAGAAGCTATCAGCTCTATACTCAGTCACAAAGACTTCAGAATTATTGCATTAAAGCAAAGCTTAGGTACCCCACTCCCCCCATCCCAAAGTGTTCTCTTCCTCCTGAAGTTTTCATAAAGAATGTGGGAGCTTTTCTTTGTGGGCTTACGGATATTTTGCAAAGCCCTAGTAGTACATAAAACTATAACAGTAATATATTAAAAAGTAATACATAAAGTAGTTGATACAGCGGGTAGAACACCTGTCCTGGAGTCAAGAAGTCTCATCTTTCTTAGTTCAAATCCAGTCTCAGACACTTACTAGCTGTATGACCTTGGGCAAGTCACTTAACCTTGTTTGCCCCAGTTTCCTCATCTGTCAAATGAGTTAGAGAAGGAAATGGCAAATCACTCTATTATCTTTGCTAAGAAAACTCCAAACGGGGTCATGAGGAGTAAAACACAACTAACAACAAATTATTATTAGAAACATAAATTACAAAGTAATAAAGCAATAACAGGTCTTTAATTATAACATGTTTACCTCACATAAAAGAAGGCATAAATAAGGTCTAACTATATTCTATTCACAGTTTTTTAAATGGTAAAGCTATTGACCTATTTTGCTGAATTTTTTCTCTTCTTCCTCATTTTCTTTTTCTAAAAATGTTTTGTTTTAAAGAATGGCTCTCAACGAGGAGGAAGGATACAGGAGAAAATCTAGATTACATAACAACAAAGGGTATCAATAAAATCGATTTTTTAAAAAAGAAATGGTAAACCAGTCATAGTTCCCTTCCCACTTTAGAGTTCAGGGGAATCAGCCAGGGACCAGTAAACCTAATGTTTTCATATCTGATTTCATAATTAGGGAACCCTTTCCAATACGTCAGTTCAACTAACCCAAAGAGGTAGTAGTTGCTTATATAAGAATGTGACCGGGAGATTTTTACAAGCAACACAAAACCACAAGCCTCAAGGAAGCTGGCAGTGGATTTCGCTGCCTTGTCAGCAGATGTTTTCAGAGCACATGTGAGGACACAGTGGTAACGGGATGAGGTAGGAGAGTGGGGGGATTCCTACTCAAATGCTTTTTGACCTTGTCACGTTGTCATAATGCAGGCCCACCTCACTAGGATTAGACTTTCTATGTTTATTATTCTTGGTAGACTGTGAATTCATGATCATAGATCGGAGACTGTCGTTCCCCACCCCTAGTTTCAGCTAAACTGAAATTGTTCTACCAATGGACTTTTGTTTATGAAATCTCAGTGGGTGAAAATTCTACCTAAAAGACTATGTCAATGTCCTAGCCGACAACACTAGATAATAACCAGAGTTATTTCTGAGCAATGAAAAAAAGGAAAGAGCAAAAATTCCCATCATCTCATTTTTCATCTTAGCATTTGCATCACCCCAAGTATGCACCAGTTTGTAGAAAGCTAGTGTGACGTAGTAGACCCAGCACTGGTCTTGGAATCAGAAGACCTAGATTCCCATACCAATTCTGCCATTAACTGAGTGTGACTTTGGCTGAGTCACTTCCCTTCTTTGAAGCTCAGCA